CTCTTCTCTCTTCTCTTCTCCTCCCCTCCCCTCCCCTCCCCTCTTCTCCTCTCTCTTTTCCTCTCTTTCTTTCCTGCCCCCCCCTTGTGCCTCCTCCTCTTCTCTCTGTCTCTCCCCCCACCCACCCCCTCTGCAGCACTGGGATTGAGCCCATGGCCTCACACTAACTTATATCCCAGCCCCTTTATAAAGTTACTTTGAGACAGGATCTTGCTAAAGGGTTAAGTTGCCCAACCTGGGCTGGACCTTGTGACCCTCCCACCTCACTCTCCCAGTGCTGAGATCAAGGTGTGCCTGCTCTTCGTGTTTAGCTGCATGGTTGGGGCCGATGGCTCTCCTTACTCTCACCGTTTCTGTCGTGTTGTCCCCACCTGGCAGATGAGGGCAGTGGTGGGAGGTGGAGTTGTGGAAGCTGGCACAGGGCTGGGCCGAGCGGCATGCGCTGCTCATCCTGCGTGTGTAGTGACCCAGCAGACACCCAGCCTGGAGCGAGTTCCCAGCGGGAGCAAGGAGGCTGCTCCCAGCACTGCAGGTCCTGCTGGGCCTCGGGCATGGTGGCCCTGTGCCCTTCTCCCACGCTGCCCTGCCCCTGCTGGGGTGGCATCTAGGGCCACCCGATGTCGGAGGGAAGGGCCGCGCTGTGCCGCACTCTGAGCCGTCTCCTTGTTCCAGTTCACGCCGTGGAGGAGGTGGTGAAGGAGGTGGTGGAGCACGCCAAGGAGGCGGGCGAGAAAGGTGCGGAGCGCGCGGCCGGCTGGGAGGGGGCGAGGGGCGGGGCGGGGCGGGGCCCGAGCTGTTGCCCAGCTATGGGAGGCCCAGGCTTTCAGCCCCCGTGCAGCTGCTGGAGCAGAGGCTGGAAGGCAGCAGGGCCCGGGGTGAGCGGGCCGGAGACAGGGAGGGAGGCCGGAGCGGAAGGAACCCCTTCCTCACCCGACCGGCTCAGCCCCGCCCACGGCGCCTGCTTCCTGTCGGTGTCACGCCAGTGTGGGGAATAAAATCAATCTGAGCTCATTCCCTGCTCTGTCCTTAGTCCCCACTCCCAGGCCACCCGCGGTGACACTGGCACGGCAGGCCACCCACACAGCTTCCCTCTTTCTTCCTGATAGCCATCGCTGACGCCTTGAAGCGAGCCCAGGAATCAGGGGACAAAGTGGTGAAGGAAGTCACAGAGAAGGTGACCCACACCGTCACCGACGCCGTCACCCATGCAGCGGAGGGCCTGGGCCGGCTGGGACAGTGACCTCCTGCCACCTCCATAAAAGCCTGGTGGGCCAGGGTATAACTCAGCGATTCAGTGCTGGCCTGGCAAGCGGGAGTTCATAAATTTGACTCCCAGTACTAAAAAAAAAAAAAAAAGAAAAGAAAAGAATAAAAACCTGTTAAATCTACACAGAGCTTTGGATTCACTCCTGTGTGGCTGGAAACACGGGGCACATCTGGGGTGTCCTCTGCTAGGGGTGTGGACGCCAGCACGTGATCACCAGCCTCCCTGGGCGTGGGAGGACCCCGTGATCAATCAGAGCATGCTCCTGTCCCACACTGAGATTCGTCCTGACAGCGAGCAGCGCTGAGTCCTTCCCTCCCCTCCCTCTCTCGCACATGCTTACCCCACGCTCGGGCCCTGTGCTCAGCCAGGCCTGTACTCCATGTCCTAAAAGGCCCCAGAAGCGATCGTCTCAGACACCTTGGTGCTTCCAGGCTGCCAGAGGAAGGACCAGAGTTCACTTAGGATGATTGAGGTGTTCCTCGCTGTGTTGCAGGTTCAGGGAAGAGGCAGATCTGTTGAGGAGGCGCTGGGCGGGGCAGGCTGCCCTGTGCAGCTTCCTGTTCCAGTCCAAGAGAGGCTGGACAAGGTTTCTGTGGCTGCTTGGAAGGTGGATTGATCTTCAACCCATTTGCTGCTTGTGGAGCCACGAGTCTCCACCCCAGCACCTGGGTCAGCCACATGGCCGGTGGTGGGTGGTGGGTGAGAAAGCCTGCCCTTCCCTTCTTCCTCCCTAAGCGAGTCAGAGCCTTACAGATGGAATATCTGTGTAAGTAGCATTTAGCTTAAAAAAAGAAAAAATTGCAGTTGGGCCTGGCAGTGCACATTTGTAATCCCAGAACTTGGGAGGCTGATGCAGGAGGATCACCTGAAGTTTGAGGCCAGCATGGGCTCCATAGTGAATTTAAGGCCTGCCTGAACTATATAGCGAGAACTTATCTCAAAAAAACAAAAAAACAAACAAAAAGCAGTATGTTACCTGCTTACCATATCTCTGGCTTTCTAAATTGGCCTCACAAGCTCCTAAACAACCCAGGAATCCCCAACATCTCAGCTTTGGAATGTTTGTTGCTGTCCTAGGGCTGGTTGTTGTGTCTCAGTTTGGTCCCTGATGCCTTTTGAATCCCTCTGATCCAAACCCAAGCTCAGAAGGCTAGGACGTCATGGAACCGGGGGCGGGTACAGGGAACACCTCGGGCTGGCGAGTCCTTCGGAGACTGTCCTTTTCCCAGGGTTTGTAGGTTCATGCAGGTGTCCCAAGGTCGAGAGGTGTTTGGAAAAGCAAGAGGTTCTAGACAGACACCCTCAGATGTTAATTGGAAGTCATTTGGATGGCAGGTTGTGCTGTACCTATTAGGTTTGTTATGCAATACAGAATTGACACCTCTTCCACTAAATTACAAAGTCCTTACCTTGAAAACTGGAACCTATGCTTAGATGCTCACCAACAGGGACTGGCTAACAAATATCACATCTGTGGGAAATGGAACACTCCATGGCTTTTGAGAATGAGAGAAATATACATATGTCATATGAGGGACATGGCCCAGTACAGTGGTAGCTCAGTAGATGAACTTAATTCTTTCCATGATTCTGGTCACAAACCTAATTGGTTGTGAACTGACTCAGATTCAGTAGGTTAGGTTCAATGTTTTGTTTTAGTATTTTTGAGACAGGATCTCATTGTGTAGTTCAGGCTGGTCTTGAACTCACTATGGAGCCCATGCTGGCCTCAAACTTCAGGTGATCCCCCTGCATCAGCCTCCCAAATTCTGGGATTACAGGCGTGCACCACCACACCCAGCCAGTTAGGTCAATGTTGACTTTATGGGGAAATTTAATTCAGTTTTGACAAATTTGGTTTGCAACCAGAATCATGGACAGAATTAACTTCATGATCCAAGTGGTTCCTCACAGTTCTGGGGAAGATGGCTATGGTCATGTGCATCACCTGAGGCAGAGTTTGCAAACAAAGGCAAAATCCTGCCAACCGCTTGTTTGTGAACCTAATTGTCTGCAAACAGCAACGAATGGAAGTAGTACTGTAAGTTAATAAATTGCAAAGCATATGCAAATAATTTATGTGAGATCAAAATATATGGTGAGCTGGGTGTGGTGGCACATGCCTGTAATACCATAACTCAGGAGGCTGAGGCAAGAGGACCACTGTGAGTTTGGGACCAGCCTGGGTTACAAAGTGAGCTCATGGCCAACCTGAACTGCATAGCGAGACCCTGCCTCAAAAAGACCAATAAAAAAAAATATATATATATATATTTGGTGAATGTTTAAAATAAAAAATTTTTATAGTAAAAGCCACATTGCAATTAATTCCCCTCAAAATATTTCTCACTTGGAACACCTGTCTCCTGGTTCTTATCCTTTCTTTTCTTTCTCTCTTTATTTTATTTTTATTGTTTGTCTTTTTGAGACAAGGTTTCACTATGCAGTTCAGCCTGGCTTGGAACTCACTTTGTAGCCCAGGCTGGCCTTGAACTCACAGCAATCCTCCTGCCTCAGCCTTCCAAGTGCTGGGATTACAGGCGTGTGCCACCACGCCCGGCTTTCTCTCTCTTTTTCTCTCTCTCCTTCCCTCTCTTTCTCTCTTTTCTTTCTTTCTTCTTTCTTTCTTTCTTTCTTTCTTTCTTTCTTTCTTTCTTTCTTTCTTTCTTTCTTTCTTTTTTTCTTTCTTTCTTCCTTTCTTCCTTTCTTCCTTGAGACAGGTCTTGCTATGTAGTCCAGCCTGGTCTTGAACCTATGGTGATCTTCCTGCCTGTCTCAGCCTCTCAAGTGCTGGGATTACAGATGTGCACCATCATGCCTGGCTATTTTTTTTTTTTTTTCTGGTACTGGGAATCAAACTCAAGACCTCGGGCTTGCCAGGCAGGTGCTTGTGCCACTGAACCATATCCCTGGTCCTAATTTTTTATTTTCTTTAAAACAAACTTACTTTTTAATGGGGACGGGAGGGAGGCTGTCAGGCTGGAGGAGGGCTAAGGTGTCAGAAGTGCAGATCCTGTGGCCTAAGTCTGCTTGGGCCTCCTGGATCTGATTCTGCAGCTTGTGGGCAGCATCCTTGCAGTCATGAAACTTGGCCACAGGACAGCCCACAGTGCTCAAAGCATAGCTGTCAGTGGCCACCAGCAGGTAAGCAGGCATTGGTCACAGGACTTCCTGGCAGGTGCGGGTAACTCCAAGCCCAGAGCTCCCATGGTCAGAGCTGCCCAGGTGGAGCCCAGGAGCACCAGTGCCCAAAACCACTGCACCAATTTCATCATGGTCACTCCTTGCTGCTCCTCTGCCACATGACCAGGCTGGAACCTGGTGCCTGGAAGTCCCAGCTATTTTTTTTTTCCTCTGTTTTATTTTCTTGCCACTTTCTAAAGCAGTTCCAGAAATCCTCTTTTGTGTCTTTGTGAGATGTAATAAAAAAAATATATGGTGATGCTGCCGCCGAGTGCCGTCCAATAGAAAGACAGTCCCGTGAAACATTACAGTGTGTCCTCATTCACCTTACTGGATCTGGCTCTGTGTGTCTTCTGGCTCTTGCTCAGACTCAGAATGACCAAGAAAGGTAAACAGTTTGAATTGGTTGAGCACATTAGGACAGCACAACTAAAGACACTCAGGAAAGAGGACTCCAGAACTGCTTCAGAAAGTGGCAAGAATGATGGGATAAGTGTATTCAAAGTGAGGAGGAGCAGGATTTTGAGGGAGGTTAATGGCAACAGGTCTTATACTATAATTGTTTAAAAATTTAAACATTCACCATATTTTTGGTCACATGTTGTATATTGTGTAAAATGAGTTTATTTCTATAAACAACACATATAATTGTATAAATAAAAAACATGGTGAGATACATATAGCAAAAATATCAAGTGTGCTGATCCTTGTAGGAGTATGGGAAATCCTCACTTTGTATATCACATATGTCCTTGATGTTTGAATTTAAAGAAAACCAGTACAGATATTTTTAAAAATGTGATTGTGATTCCCAGAACCACAAAAAAACAATTGTGTTTGCGGAGGGCATGCTCCTTTCTGCAAGACTGCGTCCCAGTGGAGGCCCATGCAGAAGCTGGCAGGATAACTCAGCAAGGAGGCTTCGGGTACAGAGGTGTGTCAGGTAGACTGCTGAGCCGGCTGGGTGAGTTGTGTGTCAGGGAGTCACTGCTGCAGGACCCTTCGCATGACAAACCTTTTCTCCTTAGCAGGGTTGGAGCAGCGCCGGGGCCCACACCTGCCGAACTTCACCTTGCAGGCTGGTGGAGACCAAGCGCTTCCTTCTGCCCACCTTCTTCCCATCATGTGTGCTCTGCCAGGAAGGCTGGAACCGACCTCAAACTGTTATAAAAAGCTACAGTGCGGCCAGCACAGTGGTCGAGGAAGGGCCTCCAGAAACTCTTCTGTGAAGGCAATGAGGACACTGCTCTGCAAGGACTGGACCAGACAGACGGCTGGGAACTCCAGCCTGCTGGCTGCTGGGGCACCCTCCTCAGACACCCAGTGTGCCCTGTGGGGGGACAGGGCCCCTCTTCCTTGCCGCAGGTACCTGCAGGTGGGCTGCCCCTGGCCCTGAGTTCCTGACGCTGAAGGGCGTTGTCCAGGCTGCGTGGAGCATTCTCTGCCTGAAATCCCTCAGGATTAAACTAGCCCCCTGTCTCCTGTTGCCAGGGTAGAACCACAAGTTAAGGTGGCTGTAAGCTTTTTGTCACTGTGACAAAACCCTAAGACAACGGCAAGGTTTCAGTCCCTGGTCATTTGACTCCATTGTTCCTGCACAGGCTGAGGCAGAACAGGGTGGCAGGGTACCGGCGCCAGGTCCCAGTGTCCCCCTCCTCACAGCCATACCCGCGACCTACTTCCCCCCATGACGTCCCACCTCAAGTCCCAGCACTGCCTGCCCTCCCGGCCTCCACCGGGGCTCTGGGGACCGTCACTGTGCAGACCTCCGCACTTCCTGGTGGAGCTCTACACTACTCTGGCCTCTGCTTCCTGAAGTTTTTAACATTCATCCTGTTTTACTGGTGGGTCTGTATCTATTCCTGATGGTAGATCTGTGCAGCTGTGAAAACTCAGCGAGTGTAAAGCTTTTTATAAAGGAAAAACAAGCATTCCTCA